TTACCATAGCAACAGTGAAGCTGGTTGGAAATTTCGGAAAAGCCTACCATCACATTTTTGAGATGGGCATTGCAGCGTTTTTGTAATTAAGGTGAGCTACGCATTTTGTAATATAGGCTGCAGCATGGATGTAATAATCGTTGGTCAACGCAACAACATCCTGTAGCTAATTGTAATATGTTTCTCGAATCTTGCAATCTTGTAGTAAAAATAGTATCATTCCACAGATTGAGTGTTTGCAGTTTCTCTCTTGCGTATAATGATTTTTCAAGCATCAGTTGTGGAGTTTTAAAGAAGAAAGGGATACATTACTCAAGCAGTTATTACAAGTCAATGATAAGTTCCAAGGAACATTTCAGGAAACATTTCATCATGGTCGATATCTCGGAAGAACGTAGCACTATATTTGTTGATAATCGTTTACATTACTCTTGCACAGTACTGTTAGGTTTTGTGGCAAAGTTGAGATTATTTCAATTTGCGTCAAGATTTTTTTAAAACTGAATTCTCTAGACCGACGATTCAGTATCACATAATGCTACAGCCTTTATTACAAAACGCTTCAACACCTATTTTAAATGCGTAAGTTATTACAAAATGCCGCAACCATTATTACAAAATGCTTAGGTTATTAAGAAATGCGTCGTTACTAAAAATGCCGCAGAACACCGGTTTTTTCAGAGCCACCTTAAGGCTTCGATACGAGTTACAGTATTTCCCTTCATTCCAGACTAACATCGCCTTCCGCGGTGGAGATCAATCAGGTTTTTGGGGAGTGTGCCGTACCCAAACTAAACAGTAACCTGAGTTTTGCGTAAAAAGATATAGAGATAATTTTCTTGTGGACAACATCTGTTCTAAGAAGTGAACAGTTTTCATAGGGCGTTGATGAAAGCTTCAAGGTAGGATAATAAAAAATCGAGCTGTGATCTCTGTCCTTCAAATACTTTACGCAGTGCACGGGACAAAACGTCTGCGAAAAGCTTACCGTCAAAAACAATAATAGCTTTGGATGCTGTAGTTAGACAGTATTGACCAAACGTATATTTCTTTAAGTTCTGATTGTTCCCTTGCGATGTCAACCTTCGCTCTCATCAGCCGTTGTGACTGCTCTATTTTGAGATTTTTAGCATTTGATCGGAGAGACCACACCCTTACTCCTCTTTGGCCTCTTCTTGTACAACCGTAAGCAGGGTAAGGTGGATAATAATGAAAGGTTGGCAGGTGATGTAGATCTCTGGGAGAATTTCGGCAGTTGAATTCATTGATCAGTTTAAGCATGTCAACCATAATCTGCGGGAAGGGGGGGGGGACATTACAAATATTAAAGCCCTGGTCTTCTGAGGGGACCCCAGGGGCATGATGCCCCAGGGAGGTTTTGTTTGTTTGCTTTTTTAATCTAGGGTCTCT